AAGTGGGCTTCATACCCAGCATGGGGCTTGAACTCACAACACTGAGATCAAGACCTGAGCCGAGACCAAGAGCCGGACGCTTAACCCACTGAGCCACCCGGGCGCCCCCCAGTCAGGATCTCCTTCCACAGGCCACGAGGATGGCGACGTGTGGCCCAAGCTTCAGGTGCTAAGAAGAGTCTAGTGGCGGTGAGCTGGGCCCTCACCTCCGGCCACCCTGAGTGCCAGGCCCAGGCCTCCCAGCGCCTCCCCGCCAACCCAGGGCCCGGGACGGAGGTGCCCGACATCGCCGCGGTACTGACTGTGAACGCCGCTCTTCACAGGGTGACTGTCTGTCGAGACCAGCAAAGGGCCCTTCAGGGCTAAGGCAGCCGACACCCCACCTGGCTTCTGGAACACCACGTAGGCTACCTGGAACCCCTGGGGGAAGAAGGAGAGAGGTCAGAATGCCAGGGCCCTTCCCGTCCTCCCAGTCACCCAGCACCAGGGATGCCACCTGCCCTCAGCTTGACTTGCTGCTGGACCAGGGGATGTGTGCTGGGCTGTTCCGCCACAAAGATAACCAGAAAGTGATCTGTAATCCTGGGGAGAGACGGCCACGCTCCTGATCTTCTCACTGGTGCTAGAAGCGACCCAGGCGAGGTGAGACACTCGGGACCTTCCTCCCAGTTATGGGAGGGACTCTGTGAAAAGCGAGCTCACCAAGCACCACAGGCGGACACCAGTTCACACGCGCTATGCCCGGAGCAGGTGCCTCACGCTTCCTCGAGGGGAAACGAGACCAGGCCATGGGGCCTAGGGAGGAATGGACTTCGGCGGACTTCGGGAGCTCAGAGAGGCTTTCCCCCAGGATGCTGGGAAGAGCTAGGCAAGAAGCTAAGGGATGGTGGCAGATGCAGGGAAAGGAGCAGGGCGCCGTCTGCCCAACAGGCATCCTCAACCACACAAGCGAGGACTGGCCTAGGACCACGGGGACCGCTCAGCCGCCCTGCTGTCACCCTGCCACCACCGCCCCACGCACACCGCGGACGCTGTCCCAGCCCCACCGCGCGCCCCATGAGAGCAGACCGCAGAACTTGAATGCCTACCCGAACGGGCGTGGGGTGAAAAAACTTGGACTTTGGTTCCTCTGAGCGGTCAGCAAGGTCCGGCTTCTCCTGTAACTCCACAGACTGGACGGGGCCGCAGGGAGAGAGGAGGCGGGCCAGGCACTCCTGCCGAAGCGGGGGCAGGGGGTTAGGGAGGGGGGAAGCTCGGCATGAGAGGCAGCAGGGCCTTCTGGAACCCCCTCTGCCCAGGGCAGCACCACTGGGGGCGGGGTCTCAGAGTCCATGTCTGCCCAACGAGGGGGGCGCACACACAGGCCCGGGCAAACCACATCCTCCTCGGCACCGTCCCAATCCTACCTCCCGTGGCCCAAGACGTCAATCTTGTGAATTTTCATGTTCAAAACTGAGCAGAAAACCACAGCGCCGCTGGCCAGGGGATGTGGGAAGAAGGAGGCAGAGTGCGAGACAGAATCCAGGTATAAGCCTTTTGGGGCTTTGCTGGAAGCACATGCCCAGGACGGGTTTGGTTTGTCCCTGAAAGGGCTTCCTCACTTTGAAAGGCCATCTCGCTGAAAGATCAGTCCTTCCCTACCAATTTCTCTGGGTGAGTGATCCCCAAAGTAGGACCAGGTTCTATTACAAGAATAGGTGAGGACGTTTTGGGGGTTATGCGGAACATTCTGATTTTAGGAGACAACCAGCTAACTTTTCCTCCCCGCAGCAGCCATTTAAAACTGAAGTTAAATCAATGTTGTAGTTGCTGGACTCAGGCTGGTGGTGACCCTTGGGGGGGGGAGGGGCATGAAGGGATTTCTTGGGCTCAGGTCATGTTCGGTTTCTGGGTGCTGAGTACACGGGGTGTTCCGTCTGTGAAATGGAGCGAGCTGTGCGCTAGGGCCCAGGCCCTTCTCTGTATACACAATACGGTTCAGGAAAAGGTAAAAAATGACGCCCTCTCCTCTGCTTCTTTCTCTAGAACAATCTTTTAGAAATCAGTATTTCTTTTTTGAATCCCAAGTCATCTAAAATCCAGCAACTCCCTTAGTTTCTCTTCTATAAAGTTATGGAAGGCAAAACTTCACTGCTTTTTGTGAAAGAAAGTTAATGTCTGGATAGATTGAGAAGTACTTTTATCTTCTTATATTTTTTCTTATGGAGATGTATCACTTTTACAATCAGGGAAAAACATGTAATTCAAACAATTCTGGGTAATAATAAGAAGCTTTGAGCTCCTCAGAACTATAGCTTTTAATTTTGTTTTTTAAGTTTATTTACTTATTTGGGGGGTGAGGGACAGAGGGAGGGAGGGAGGGAGGGAGGGAGGGAGAGAGAATCGCAAGCAGGCTCCACACTGCCAGAGTGGAGCCTGATGTGGGGCTTGAACCCATGCACCACGAGATCATGAGACCTGAGCCGAAACTCAGAGTCAGAAGCTCAACCGACTGAGCCACTCAGGTGCCCCATAAAACACAGCTTTAAAAAGCCATTTCCGGGGCACCTGGCTGGCTCGGTCCAGAGTGTGTGACTCTTGATCTCAGGGTGGTAAGTTTTTTTTTTTTTTTAACAATTTTTTTTTTCAACGTTTATTTATTTTTGGGACAGAGAGAGACAGAGCATGAACGGGGCAGGGGCAGAGAGAGAGGGAGACACAGAATCGGAAACAGGCTCCAGGCTCTGAGCCATCAGCCCAGAGCCTGACGCGGGGCTCGAACTCACGGACCGCGAGATCGTGACCTGGCTGAAGTCGGACGCTTAACCGACTGTGCCACCCAGGCGCCCCTCAGGGTGGTAAGTTTTTAAGACCCATGTTGGGTGTAGGGATTCCTTAAAAAAAAAAAAAAAAAAAAAATTTTTTTAAAGCCACTCCCTATCAAGAGACAGAGGCAGACCTCTAGATTCTCCCTTGGGGCTTCAGTTAGATGCTTCCAACTCACCACTAAGGACTTGGTGAAGGCCAGTGGGAGCCCAGCCCTGCCTGGGACTCCTGGCCAGCCCTACAGGTTCCCTCCCAGACACCCACTCACCTCTGTGCAGTATGGGGGCACGTTGAGGACAAAAAGGGTCCGCTTCTGAGGCCAGGAAGACTTGGTGCCTTCTCGAACTCTGTGTTCTCTCACATAGAGGTAGTGAGAAGCCTGCTGCTTTTCCGAGAACTTGATCGGGATGGCTGGACGGAAAATGGGGGCAGGGGTGGATGGCGTGAAAATCAAGTTCACGCTGTCCCTTTCTAGTTCTGTCTATCCATTCCATCACTGAGCCCTTCCCCTAGGCAAGGCCTGTGCAGGAATTGGAGAGTGAACGAACAGAGAACCTGCCCAGGAGGGGCTCCCAAGCTGGTGGGGGAGAGAATGTAAACGGGCAATTATTACAGGTGGGGAGCGAAATGAGAGGGGAGTTCAAACCCTGCTGCTCTTGGGGTCAACACTAAAATCCCGACAATGGCTGGAGCCCTTGCCAGATCCTGACCACCTTTCACCTCTTTCCATCCCCTCTTTCCCCAACCACTGTGTGGGCCCACCACTCCACCTTCTCCCTATTCCTCAAGGAAGCCCAGACTTCACCTGTGCTCACACATTTCCCTTTACCTGAAACATCAACTCTCCTCCCTCCACCCGTGCTTCAGGTTTTCTTTTTAAGTTTATTTATTTTTAAGATTTAAAAAAAATGTTTATTCTTTTTTTTTTTAATTTTTTTTTTAACGTTTATTTATTTTTGAGACAGAAAGAGACAGAGCATGAACAGGGGAGGGGCAGAGAGA